AACTCATCCCACAGTGACAAAATAAGCGTGTTTTAAATACATTCATATGCATAAATAACACGAAATATAAATATGACCCAAGCTGCGAGCTTGTTGACAGCCAAAAAAAAAAAAAAAAATGAACAAGGCGACACTTTTCGCTTTTTCTCTGTTGTACTTGCCAGTTCAGTTTGTCTCGTACATTATGCAAATTATTTGCACGAATTTTCAATTTTGGTAAAATGCTTTGGGCATTATTAGGGCTCAGCTCAGACCAAAGGAGCAGCCCGCAAAAGACAAGGCAGCCGTCCCTCCTTCCCGGGAAATATGATTAAAATTGTATTTCGGGTCCGGCGAAGGGGAAATCTCCAGCGATCGTGACTCACATGATTATCCTTGGCCCATACAAAAGCAAATTGAGTTATGCCCCCAAGGAGTTTATATTTGTATATATGCTCGTGTGGAAATAAGCTTGTAAACCGGGATTAGAAACCCCTCCTCCATCCATTCCGTATTGCTTTGATAACAACTCATCTCCGGGGAGAGTTGCAGGCCATTCTGCAGTCTCAAGCAAACACTGGCAACAACTTATTCACTTTTTGTTTTCCCCAAATATAAACTGCGGCCAAAGGATACAGATGGTCCCCTCGTCCTCGCCAGTCTGTCCTGTGTGTCCAAGTTCGTCCAGACTTTTGGCCTTTTCAGCAGCCAAATGAGCCACTGACAGCAAACGGAAAAATCCCCCTCCGCTGAGGAATTCCCGTCAAGTTGGATACATTGCTCCTCCGCCGCAGAAATAACAAAATTGTGTGCGGTTAGCTGCAAGGATTTGGCAGGACTCCCAGCGGAGAAGTTGATGTTGGTCGGTCATTACCAAAGCCTTGGGAACTTTTGGGCCGGGAACTTTGCAAGATGCAAAGCAGATTTTAATGATGAGTTTGGGAAGTGCTTTCTGGGAGGAAGGCAATTAATATCATCCACAAATTACAGCTCTTTAAGTATTTTATGTGATATATTTTTAATGGATATATGCTTAACCCTTATACGCATAACCTTTAACATCTCAAAAGCAATACAAAGTAAATACACTTTAAGCTGATTACGCGAGAGTCAATTGGCCCCGATCCGTTTGGGCAGCAAGCAATTGGATTTAATTGCCTGTTCGACAACAATGGCCATTATGAGGAGAGGAAATTACGTAAGGACGATAACCATAACCACGTAACCTCATCCTCGTCTCACGTGTCGCAGGCAACAGTGCCACGTAATCGTCGGCAACTGCCTATCAATCGGAGCCTGGTTGTGTGGCCTGTTTGCCTCGGCCCTTCGCTGCCAACTTCCGGGTGGCAAAAAATTAATATGGCCGGCATATGGCGTACACGATTTTAATGGCCGACATGACGAGGAACAGGCAACAACATCGGGCGACTAACAATAGACATGACAGGCGACTGAGGAGCGGCAGATGCCGCATCAAGTGCCACTCCCCTTTCCCCAAAACGCCCCTCGGCAATGTTCTAATATTCCATCAACATGTGCTCTTATTACTGGTAATCGCTTACAGGCCTGTTTATATAAATGTTTGCAGCGGAGGAGGATGTGCGGAGGTATTTCGCAGTTCAAAGATTCAACCACGCCTTGGGTTAGCAATTGGTGACCCAAAATCAGCAAATTTTCATTTCATTTTTAAGGGACTCATCTGTTAAAGTTTGTTGCAGGACTCTTTAAAAACGACGAACGCACTAGTTATTTAAGTCTGATCTCCGGCACATTACGCATACGCCCTGTGTACGCCATTAACGGCCATTTCACATTTCCTGCTATCGAATTTCCGGTCGGAGGGCTTCCCTTAGCCAAGCCGAAGCAAAACACACAATCCGAACCGTTGAAGATGCTCACGTTCACGTTGATTGCACAAAGCCCTCGGCGAGGCAGTTTACAAGAAACAAATTAATGTTTCTTCCTTGGCCCAATGATTACGCCGATAAGTTCGGTTTTTTACGCTCTGCCTTCAAGTTGTTTTTCCCCGGCTGATGGAAAATAAACAAGGCACATTTTGGGCGCGTGTCTGCCGCAAAAATTGCCGGAAATTTGTTTGAGCTTTAAATTACAAATCATTATCGATGCGCATTATAAATTTGGCCTGCCGAAGAGGAACCGGCAGCCGGACCACGAGTCGATTTCCTAATGCCAGCGGCACTTGTAAAATCACATTGAATAATATTGCATTTGGGCTGGGGCCCCATTTCGGTTTGTGTCTCCTTTTGAGCAGATTAATTTCCGGCATTTACACTTAATTCCCCAGTTTCTGGCCAAGACCAGCCAGCCCGGCAGCCGGCAATCGATGCAATCAGCTAAGGACCAATTTACCAACATGTCAACGGACGGGCGGGAAACGGGTATCGAGGCGACCGCAATTCGGTCGGGGAGCAATCCTGGGGAGCAGAGCCTTAGATTTGCACACATTACCACTCAATCTTCATATACTCTGGGTGTGTGATATGCAGGATTTCGGATTCCGGGCTGTCCCCATCGCTCGCCGGCTAAGTCCTTCGGCCAGGACCTCGGCATGCACATGATGTCCACATGGCCGCAAAGATTTATTTACAATTGTGTTGAGACATAATTCCTTTTGATCGATTGCGGACCGAAGGGCTCCCAAGGGAAGCGGAGCTTTGTGGTCACTCGTAAGCGATGATTCTTTTGGCCCCTCCTTTGTCTTGGCTGCACTCGTTGGCCACTCCTGCTTTTCCATTTTCCATTTTCCATTCTCGCTGCAGTGGGGAAAGCGAAGAGAGCGAGCAGAATTATTTGCGCAATTTATGTGGCTTTGATTTCATTGGCAAGATGTACGGGCCGTACGGGCCAGAGCGATTTATGGTAACTTGATAATTTGTGTTAGCATTTGCCAACAGTTCAAAGGATCCCGGGCTGGATGCAATTTATTTGCCGGACGTGTGGCCCTGCTACCACTGCCGAATGACATTAGAATAAGGAAATTGCAATCGACTGCGGCCATGGAACTACACAGAAAAGCCGTGCCATCTGCCTGTCCCATGGAGATCCAATGAAGAGTGAAGGCTTTTCCCATGCAAAATAAAATTCAAATTAGGAAGGAGTAGGAAAGCCTATCCAGAGTGTTTTCCCATGCGTGCAATATGCTCTCGATTACTTTTCTGGCCACACACAAAAACAATGAATTTTGGGGGGAAGTGTAAATCAGGTTGTGAAGTCCCTTGGAATGCAATAAAAATACGGTTGCACCGAAAGTACTTCCACTCATAACTCTATGTTTTTGATTACCCCCTTCAATATTGATTTATGAGAGCCCTCTGATGATTGGCTCGCCCTGCGAAGTAATAAAGGCAGCTGCTCAACTGCAAAAGCCAGCCCTTTCAATCCTTTCTGCACTCCCGGCAATTGTTAAGCAGTTGGGGCAACTCCAGCCCCGATTTCCCCCCATCCCGTTCATAAAAAATGCGCACTTAACACATGGCAAAGGCAGTTTCCAGGGCGGCATTGAGCATTGCTGCCTCATTCTTTGGTAATGCACATAAATCCTTAGAGTGCGCACTTAACTCCTTTTTATGCTGCGACAAAGTACATTTACTAATGACCAAGTCAAACAATGGCCACGGCCAAGACGCGGAGTCCTGCCAGTCCTGCAGGTCCTGCCGGCAGTCTGGAGTCCTGCGGAGTGGAAGGGTGGGGAGGGGGAAAGGGGGATTGGCCCACGAAGTAGCAATTTACGCGCTCAAGACGGCGGCAAGCGGCAAGATGGTGACAAAGCACGCAAAACGGAACAGCAGTTGCTTCTTGCGAGGGGGGCGGAAAATTGTCACCAAGGCTGGCAAAATCCACAAGGGGTTGGGGGAGGAGGTGGGAAAGTCGAGCTCTGGGCTCCAAGTGTCGGCAGCGGCTGCATGTTAATTGCTGCTGCGACGGCAGCAACAACTGCAAACAGTGGGAAAGCGTGTCTAAATAGCGTAAATTCACACAGACGCACACCTCCACAGGCGAACGGAAAATCTTGCTGCGTATTGTGTGGAAATTGAAAAGCGAGCTGGCAAACTGCCGGCGAATGCAGGACATTTCTCACACCCTACTTGCGAAATAAATACTCAGTGATTAGCGCCCTATTAAAATGTGGGTAATCGTCTTATTGATTGAATATGATTTATGATTCGATTTGTAGATATTTGTAAATTAAATATATTCGATATAATAGAAATAAAGAAGTATTTTGAATAAGTGAAACAAGTTATGCAATATTTCGGTTTACTAAAAATAAATTTGCTTGAAGGGTGTATATTTTCTGTGAGAACAGTGATGGTTTATGTTCCAAACCGATCTAAAGTCACGTTGGGCATATCCCTCAGGGTTTATGGAGCGAATTGCCGAACACTAGGTGTCACTTGTTAGTCTACTAATCCACGACAGTGTGCGCTCAACAGGATATCAAGCGGAAAAGGACAAAGAGCGCTGCATACGCACAGGCTGGAAATGCAAATTTCCCTTCGGCTGGCAGTTTAAAATGTTGATGAAGTAATTAGTTTAATATGCGAAATGCCCCTGACGGTGTGCGTGTGTGCTTGTGTGTGGGTGGGTGTGTGTGTGGGAGGCGTGGCACATAGAAAAGTGTAATTGAAAATACTACGAATTCTGGGCTGAAGGGACAGGGACAAGGTTTCGGGCTTGGGCATTGTGAAACTTTTTCCATTTATTAAATTTGCCACACGAATTCTACCAAGAGCACTCTTCTATGTGGCAGCGTTTAATTATTTGTGCAGCACATGAAATTAAAGCGGTTACAAATTGTGCCAGCCCATTCCGTTTATCAGATTCCCTCAAGTTTTTCAATTAAGATCTAAGGAAAACTTGAATGAGTTCCTTTTTTCATATTGTAAATTATATCTTGCGATTTCCTTTCGAAATTGAATTCGGGAACAACTCAGTCCTCGAAGTGAAGCAAAAGTTTTGCCTTTTGAGCCAAAGTTGCCAGTTTGTTGTCAGTTGTCAGTAATGTATTTTCCTCGAACTTGTTCAAAATATTATACATTTTGATTTACACCGAACTACACTAATATCGACACAAAATCACAATTTTGCTGCCTTTTCAGCTTTTGCTTTAAGTTGCCTTTGTTCGAGTTGAAAAGTTATTCAATTAGGAACACTCTTTCGGATAATTGCGTTCTTGCGTTTCTGCGTTCACCATGAGTCTGATTCATTTTAACGACTACAAGGATTACGTGGATAGCTTCATCACCCTCAAGGACATTCGCTATGTGGGCAGCAGGCAGGTGCAGAGAAAGCTGATCCAGAATGCCTGCGGAAAGAACTGCCTGGGCAACATACTCACCAAGGAGCAGTTCCTCCAGAGAAGGGAGAAGGAGTTGTCCCAGCTGAGGCCAAGGGCAATCGGTGGCAGCCAACTGTACGGCGACTTCTTCACCGGCAACGATGAGGTCCTGCGACAGATTGCCATTCGCGAGGAAAGGCTGCTTCAGAAACAGATTTCGGTAGGGAAGAGATACCACATATTTAATTAAAAAAATTTAATAAATGTACTTACTGTTTTGATTCATTGTACATAATAATTATCCTTTTTTTCAGACCGTTATCTACTTGGTGATGCGCTCCAAGAAAGGACTGGAGATCTCCAGCTTTATAGATCTCGAGCAGAGTCTCCGGGAAGCTCGATTCGAGAATTCGCTGAACTTCCTGGACTGGAAGGGCATTTTCGAGGGCCGGGAGAAGTTGCTGCCCTCCAAGGAGCACCTCAGCTTCTACGACTGGTACCAGAACAAGGTGTCCTACAACAACAGCGAGAACATCCGGGTGAGGAACGAGACGGCCCACAGTCTGCTGCTGAAGCACATCGGCGACCACAAGATGTTCTGCGTGAACGCCACCTGCGACTGCGAGTACACGAAAAATGTCAGTCGAGAGACGTACTTTTCGCCCACCTACGGATACGTCATATTCTTTGATCACATAATCAGGCGCATTAATTAGCGATGGCTTTAAAACGTCAATAACGCGCAATCGTGGGTGAGTAAAATCGAAATAAAATGAAACGATGTCCTCGAGGGCGCATTTGCCGTTGACAGTTTACGTAAATTGCTTTTCGTATCTTATCAGTTATGGTTTGGTTTGGCATGGCCGCAGTTTCTGATGGACGTTTCGAGGTCCTTCCGTCCATCGGGGAGCGGAAATTGGCCGAGCTTTATGCCATTTCAGGGAGCTTCAGCTGCATAAATCTATTAACTATTAACTGTCTCCCCATCGAGTGTTGACGTCCTCAAGTCGGCCGACATGTTTTTGTTTGCCCATTTGCCATTGTTTGCCAACTGCTTTGCTTCCTAATGCTGCTTTGTTAATTCTCCCCACTGTGTGTGCATTTAATTGGGCCTTCCACTCATGCAAATTAACTTGGCCAATTTGCAGTGTAAACAGGGTATATACCAATTTGGTTTAGTTTCAAAATGGTTCATAAGTTAGTTAGGGGAAACTTTTTATAAACAGACTAATGTGCATGTAGTCGAAAGCTTTTGCCTGCATTATTCAAGTAGACAGGAACTAAATAAATAATGAATGTGCCTAAATTATGATTTAAGTGCCATCTGCAGTGGGCTGAAATTTAATTTGCATACACAATTAGCTGTTAATTTATAACCGACTGCCAGAGTCTCCGCAGGGCAGCAACTGCAACTTGGCCCGCCCAGAAACAATTCAATTAAAGCAAACATTGAGACGGCAGCCTCTCCTTCAGGAGATCCAGGTGCAAATGGAGTGTCCTGGCCAGAGGATAACCAGGATGCCGCCCACTGGCACGAAAGTCCGAATAAATATTTGCCCGGCTTCCCTTAGTCAAGTTTAGAGGCCAAAGCCAGAGCCACTCGTTCGGTTCAGTTGGAGTGGAGTAAGTCTGGTCTATGTGTCTTTGTTCTCCATTAAGATATGGCAGATTTGTTGCCCCCGAAAAGACAAACAAGTGGCTAGAAATTCCCTTCGGCTGGCATTGAGATTGCATTTTACGGGCCAAATAAATTCCGAGCGATATAAGCCAGCAATTTACTGCCAGGTTGCATTCCCAGACCAGTCCATATATTTTGATTAACAAAATGGGGAAAATGGGACAAATTCACAGGCCAAATGCACAAAAACAAATTTATTATTTTGACAAATTTCGTTGACGAGAATTAAGCTCTTTGCGTTGGCAATCAGCCGTGAATAATTTGGCCTATCGCCCACCGTAGTCAAGTGGTTTTAATTTGATATTGTGAAATCCCATGTATAAATTATGAATAAATATAGTCTGCTTGTGGCCAATTTAATTGGCCAAATGTGCAAACAATAATGCAAATGAATAATTTAAAGGCATGTGGAACGGATGTCAAAAAGCTCATGGTTATTTAAATGAAAGTGTGCCGAGCTAAATAGCCCTGAGTCTTTTTACAACGAGAAGGTACTGCTGAGCTGCAAAAACACTTATTAATTAATCGTGAAAGGTTTCTGGGCCTGCACGACCGAACTAATGCTGTACATAGTTTTGGCATACACAATAGCCTGCGAAAATAAAAATGTGCTTTATTTTCCTAAGGAAAATAAGGAAAAGTGTCCAATAAATATGTAGATCCTGTCCGAGTTGACTTGCTGTCAATTTGATTGGATTTATGCCTGACCTGTGGGCCACATAAGGCCACAAATAATTTATGGGCTGACCCACCTAAGCACCACCACCGCCTTTAATGCCATATGCTTCATTTGGTATTGCTGGCTCGACACAAAGAATATAATATTTCATAAGGTCGTAAGCTGTCGCAAAAGATGGCTAATAAATAATTTAGGCACTCAAGATTGGACATCTGGCGAAGTTACGTGCCGGCCAAAACCCTTTCAGTTCCCGAAAATAAATACATAAAACGCCGCCATAAAGTAAACATCATCGGACGGAAGTCGGCAAAGTAAACCGACGGCTGAGTGAAAGGCATATTAAATTAAGCTGCATGCCGCAAATGCCGAAAGGTCCTTTGTGGAGCGCGGCAGTTACATTCAAAACAACAATCATGAGTTGTGACCAACAATGGACGTAATGAAGGAATGAATTAAATGAAATGTTGCGCGGCAAATTACATTTTTGTTCCACTTTCTGTCTGCTTTCCACGGATTCCTGCTGCTGTATTGCTGTAATGAAAATGAAGCGGAAAGTTTGGGGAAAAGGCGGCACAAACTTCCGTTTGTACAAAATAATAAAATCAATTTCAAGAAGAAAAACCAAAAATTCCATAGCTGGTCAAAGCTTTTAATAAAATTCATCAAAATGGAATTCAATTTTGTTTAAAGAATTACTTATACGCCATGTACCATTTCACAGGCAATTGTGCAAGTTGGCATTAAAGTTTTGATTCAATTGGCAAAACTTCCCCGAATGGCAGGCAAAATAAGCCAAATTTATGGGCCAAACAAAGGCTTACAAACCACAAATCAAAATGCAATACAATGCGCCGAACCAACAACAACAACAACAGGAACAACAAAGGCTGCAACAATTACGTATCAAGTTAAAAGCAATTGTACATTTTCTAGCTGAAGTCATATTGTCTATACATTTATCAAATGTCCGTCCGTCTGTCCGTTTGTCCGTCCGTCGGAGTGTGTGTTTCAGTTTGTGTTTTGGCGGATGCCATAAATAAAACTCAGCCAGAAGATAGACATGAAAAGAGGGGTCTTGAGTCGGAAATTGTTTCGCAACGTGGGAAATGTTTGATTTATGTCTGTTTCGCCAGTGGGCCCTCCCACGAGACTGGCAAAGACTGGGCAAAAACACAGAGCAGTTGTAAAATGTGTAATTGATGATGTGGCAAAGGGACATAAAAAGGAAAACAGACTCGGACTCACAGGCTTCCGTCTAAATATGGTATTAATGCCTGGATTTTGTTGACATTTTCGACAAAACATCTACAAACTGCGCAACTGAGCAAAGGGAACTTTGTTCCAGCGCCAGGACCTCCTGCACGATAAGTGCCCTTCGAGTGCAGGACACGGAGAGCGTGACGACATGCAAAGTGGGCGTGGCAGAACAGCAGGACAGTAGGAGGGGGCGGCCATCTAAGCCAAACGGAAACGGAAACTGCATGCAAAAAAGCAAAAGGGGGAGCAAAGATAGGAAATGTAATGTTGACCATTTGGCAACCAGCACGAAAAGTCGTTTTGTTCAGCTCCAAAGAAGGAGGAAGGATGCGACACGAAACTCGGGACACGGGACACCTTGCTTGTTATCCTCGCAAATATTTCCCCTCCGACACAAAAGCATATTATCTAAGCGACGTTGTCCCCCCGACGAAAAATTCCCATTTGAAGCTTAACAAATTGATTTTTTAGTTGCAACTCCCCGTTCCCCTCCCCTTCCCATCGGTTTTTCCGCGTTGCATGACAGTTGCTCATAGCGCTGGTGCACATTTTCCCGGGGAGATATATGCAACCTTTGGTGGCGCCTTCATTGCTTAATGCACTGGAAACCATTCTCCCCGTCGGCTCTTCGGAGCCTCGCAAGCTGCCGCCATTGTTTGCTCTACACTTTTCGGGGCATAAATAAATTTTCATTAATTTATGTGCAGGCGACGACGCTCAACGGCATTCTCATAATGTGCGGCATAAGTTTGTGCCCCAAAAGAGATGAGGAGGCAAGGAGGCTTTCGCGGGGGGCAGGCAACATTATGGTGCATCCCGGAGCCAAGAGCCCCGAAAAGTCTTCGGGTATTAAGATGAATCCCCCGCCTGATGTACAGCCAACTCCGGAATAGCTAATGAAGCCGGCAAAGCCACCAAGATTGGCCTGAAAAGGCGGCCAGCCAACAAAATATTTTCCCCGCATTTATGCACCAACTTGAAGCCTTTTTCAAACTCCATTAACGTCATTTTTTACCCAGTTCCCTCCAGTGGACTGTATCCATTTTATTGTTGATTTTATACATTTCCACTCGAATGCCTTCTCCAGGGAGTTAATTAAATTTCACATTTGTAAATTTCTATCGCAGGCAATCGAATTAAGGGCAACTTACGAACTGGCAAACAGAAAACGCTACCAACAAAAACAATAATGTAGTGAAGTAACAAGAATTTCCATTGATTTTGGGAAATAACTCACTCTGCAGATAAAATAATGAACACCTCGGACATAAAACCGTGGTCAAAGGCTAATGAATATTGAGAAATATGAATGAATAGTTACTTGCTTTAAAAATATTCAAAAACATATATTAAATTTAAAATACCATGTGTAATTATGTGCAGATCGTTGGAGTAACACCATTGAAACTTCGCCTATTAGGCTGGTAAATATTTAAATAAAAAGAGCATACGAGCTTCTGAACTGTGGTTTCGCTGCTGCAATTCCACTCCCGCGTGGTTTGCGGTGGCACAACTCCCGCTGGGGGCTTTTGGGGAATCTGCACCACCGAGCAACCGACCCACCATTGTTGACATTGTTTCATTTGCACTCGATATGCGGAGACGCGCACAGATCCACAGATCCACAGATGCACCGATGCTTTTGTTGGCCGCTTTGTAATTGTTTCGCTTAACAACTTTTAATTGAATATTTCAGGCGGCCGTCGGTGTTCGGTGTGCTTATTCACTCACAAAATGCAGCGGCAGCGCATTGATCAATTGTTTACACGGTTTAAGTAAATAAACGCATTTAAATCGAGCCGGCCGGCCGACGGGGATTACCCGCGTTAATTGCGCAAAAAGGCGGCCACTGCGGAGACATTAACTGCGACAATCCGATAAATCGGGTGGAAGGGAAAGACCAAAAGTGAAAGCCGATTTCCGTCCGGGCCAGAGATCGATGGAGCTCGAAGCTGGGAGCTCGGAGCTGGCCAAAAGGTGTTGGCCGCCGCCATTATTTATTAGTTTTAATAAAGCCATAAAAGGGCCGGCAAACCATTCAGAGACGCACGGCAAAACACGCGTTCAACAAATAAACTTTGACACTAAGCGCTTTGGCAAATGACCTACGGTTTTATTATGGCCAACGAGGCTTTGTTCCGACACCCTCGACGCACAGAGGTCAAAATCATACTCACATTACACAATCAGATCCCGATTGC